GAAGACTGCCTGTGCTGTGTTCTGCACAGCAGAACTGCAGCAGGGAGGCTCTGCTGGAATAGTTGTGCCCACTGGCCAGGCACTGTCCCTGCTGGGAGACGTGGTTCGTGGTTTTTAAGGAAGCAGCAAGGAGCCAAGCATGTGTGCAGCCCTGCCTTCCTTCCCCTGTGTGCCCTTCTCTCTGCTGGGCTGCCCATACTGCCACTCAGAGGTGATCATCCAACATGGAGTCTGAAAAGGTGAGCAGAAACTTTTGTAAAATGGAACAGCCAAGATCTGGAATGGGCTAAGTTTAGATTTGTTCATCTGACCTTACTTCAACATCTACGAGCACCCTTGCTCCCACATCTCTCCCACAGGAGGTTGCCCCTCTCGCTGGGCCCTCGCAGTAGCTTACTTGCAGATGAACTTTGCTCCCTGGGGGAGGAGGTAGGTCAAGGGAGGAGGAAAGGAGGGAAAATAAAATAAAGCCCTTGTTTGTTGACAGAGCTATCGTCAGAGCTGTTTTCATTACTCAGAGTGCAAGTGCTGGTATGTCTGGGCTCCTGCTCCACTGCTGTTGTTTTTGGTACTTTCTGGTAATACAGAACTAACCGGCTGTTCTCCCAGCAGATCCTCTCCTTCTTCGTTCCCTCCCGCCTTTACCTAAATGTGACTAAGTAATATAGGGTGACATGTCAGTAACAGAAGCCCTCCACTTGCCCCAGCTCTGCTCCTGTTACTCACTATATACCATCTACCCAAGTCTTAAAGAAGGCAAATGCGCTAAACACTTTCCTGTGCAGTCTGAATCCCTGCCTGATTCTCAATGCAATGTACAACAAGTGCATAAAATAATTGGCCCATAAATCCAAAACGTGTCAGCAAATAGAAAGCCTGAGACCTGTCATCAGTGCACCCTGGGGAGGCTGTTTAGGCTAGTGGTTTATCAGTGAAGTGAAAGCTGAGGAAAAGTAGACCCACTTCAAAGGTGTTGTCTAGAGATAGAGATAGGACTTGCCATTCGACGTGCAGCGTGGGCTTGGAATGAGTCACTTGGATCTTTTTTTTTTACAGATACTTTTTATTATTATGGGTTGGGCAGAGTGGTGTTCTGCAATAGCAAGGCAGTGATGTGGGTAGAAAAATAACGTTTCTAATTCCGCAAAGTCAGTGCTGCTAGACTGCTGGTAAAGCACAAACATCTTTGGTTCTGACTTTTCAGAAAAAAACTGCTCTGTTTTAGTATTTTGTTGGGGCTCCCACGTAGTCTCTGACGCTATGGGAGCTGAGCACTTTCCAGGAGTGCAGTAAATCCTGTGACAAGCCTCTGCCATGTGCCATTCTTTTCCATCCCACTTTTCTTCCCCTTGAGGAAAGAAAACTATACGTGACCCATTTTCTGTTTGCTTTTTTATTTTGTGATGTGTTTAGGACTCTCACTAGCAAGTGCAAGGTCAAAGGAATATATTGGTTTTGGAAAGAAAAAGGCTAAATCTTGACATGCTTAATATCTGATTGTGTTTTGGGCTGGGTCTGTAGAAAGCTGTTCCCTGCCTAAGTTTTGCCTTTCCAGAGCACGTGTTCTTATGGCAGACGAAGTCACAGAGACGCTGATGAGCTTTCAGTATTAGTGTTGGCTGCCCTCCACCCCCATTTTATTTCTCTCCTTTCTCTCCCCTTGCTTCCGAATGTGACTCTGCTGTACCCCAAAGTGATGAGCAGAACTGTCTCAGTATGAACAGAGCCCAATACCAGGTGACTGTAGGTTATCTTGGATAGCTTTAGGGAAAAAGGAGGGTAGAAAATAAAGTGCAGAGGGCAGTGACATCATTTCTGTGCTATGAGCATTTTGCAGCTGGCAGTAGGCCAGGGGCAGGAGGAGGCATGGCTGGAACAAACCCTGCTGCAGCAAATCTGGCAGGGTTTTGGCAGGAAGAATCACCAACTAGGTAGGCAGGGTTCTCACATAATGTGAACCAAACATTACAGATGCTCACCTAAGACCTTTCCACCAATTAATTTTTTGTAGGTGGGGTAGGAGGAGTGCAAGAGGGTGTGAAGGGAGGGAGCTGAAATAATGAGGAACAGTGCATCCCCTTTCACATCCAGCTGCACACCAGGTGACCTGAGCTGCTAAGAGCATCCTGTGGCCCCTTCCCTGTTTCCCCACTCATTCCCACCAGGCTCTGCTCGCCAACGCAGGTGGGACCACTGCAGCAGGCACACACTGAAGCCAGGATTGCCAGCTGACACGTACTAAAAAAAAAAACAACCCCCACCCAACAAAAAACGACAAACAGAAAAAAATAACCAAAACAAAGGAAAACTACAGACCTTTGATTTTTCACCCTGTTACTGATGCTGATAATAAAAATCAGGACAAATCACAACGCATGGCATCTGTGGCCTAAATGTAATCTGAGCTCCTGGCAGCACTGTGACAGGGGAGATAGATAGATAAAATTTGCTGCCTTTGCCTCCTGACATTAGTCCTCATCCCAGTGTATCAAAGAGTCTGGCCCAAGTCAGACAGCTCATCCCAGAGCAGCCCAGCAGAAGTCTGTCCTGGTGAGTCCTGGCAAGATGTCACAAGAGGCCAGATTGCAGATAAGGAGGCACCCATCCCCTGTTGTTTTCAGTGGAAGGCAAGGAGCTAAACCCCTCTAAGAAATTGGCCTGTCATGCCTGAATGCTGTATGAAGCAACTTCTGCTCTTGGTACTTAACATTTAAAGGAAAAGGTTTCCCTAAACCCCTGTCCCTGTTAAAAACTCTGATTTCTTGCAGCTGGGATGGGAAACATTGGAAGTAGCTGTCCACTGGATTGCTATACTGCAAATAGACTGTGCTATTAATAATTATTAACATGATGAACATTTCCCCTATATGTATAATGATCCCAACAAAAAGAACCAATTTCTGCTCTTTAGAGATCAACCTCTACACAAGGTCGATGGGGTGAGAGCAGTCAGAGAGCTCTTAAGTGTGTGCTGCAGCTATGAGTACATGATTTCCCCTCCTTTCCCTTGGCAATGCCGCATGACAGTTGTTCAGCGCTGGGCAGACTCCATGAAAGGACTGAGGTTCTGCCCAAATTTGCTGCCTCTTCGTTATTTTGATACTATGATTGCCAAGCATTTTGACACAGTGAATGCGGTGTTGTAACACAGTTTTAGCCAGGTCTCACTGTAGCTCATTACAGGGAGGTTAGACGTTAATTATTTATAATACCAATGCCATCAACTACTTTTGCAGTGCTTTCCTTGGGAAGATTTCAAAACACTTTATAAAGAAGCTCCACACTTTTAAATCTGGAGCAGTTTATTAGACGCCAATCAGATCAGCTGACATTGACATGCAAGTGCAGCTGACACATTCAGCAAGTACAATGTGTGATGCCCCAGAACCATGATACGGAGAGCAGAGATCTCCGTGCTTTCGCTTTGCAGTTTCTACAGGCTGCTTCCCGCTCCCATTTAAAACCCAAAGCTTGTGCCAACAAACGGCAGGAGGATTTTGTGCTGAGTTTCCCTCCTGCCAGGCTCTTAGAAAATGTTATTACTCTCCTCTCAGGCTGTTTTCTCAGGCAGGGTTGGTACAGCCTGTTTCCACCTCTGGGACTTGCTAACCCCACACCAGTTTCTCCGTGGACAAAACCAGCTTGAAGCTGGCAGGGCAGTCACTTGCTTTCTCTCTTTTTCTCTGCAACCACTAAGTCGAAGGAACATGCTGGGGAGGGAAGGGGACCGTATCTCAAGCCAAGGGGATCCTCTTCTCTGCTTTCAGCAGAAAGAGTAAGGCCGGGCTTTTCCCCTGCCTCCCTTTTATAACCTCTGACTTTCTGTACAGGAAATGGCTCTTTCTAGACTCAACATTATCTTTTACATGCACTAATACTGCTGCCTTGGGCTTTTGAGCGGAGAAAGGCATCCAGCTTTCCTATCCAGAAAACCTTTTAATAACTTCCTTTGGAGGCTGCTGCGTTGCCCAAGGCAAAAGCTTGCAGAGCACAGCTGGGATTGGAGAGGACGGGAGAAGGGGACCGGGGCGGGGAAACCAAAAGAAGAAAACTCATTGCAAGAAAATGGAGCTAGGAGTTCAGGAGGCAGATTTGCAAGAGGCGTGATTGCCTCTACGCTTCCACCTGCTGCTGCGCTGTCCTGCTGAGGTCAGACTGCTGAATGGGAACATAGAGATAGCAAGAGACCGGGACAGTGTAGAAGACATTATTTAATAGCTCATCTTAAATAACATGACAATGTCAACATGTGAACAACTTACACCTGTCAAAGGTGGCACAGAATATCCTGTTGTGTTTTGCCATTTATCCGGTGCATATGTTTGGAAAACAGACACAAATAATACTGTCCCATCAGGAGCTTCAGTATATAATCAAGGTTTAGACTTTCTTTTTTAAGAAACAGCTTGACATTGAAACAGAGGTGCAAAAGCAACATGATATATAAACAAAACAGGTTTTAAATAAGTTTCTAAGCATGTTCTCTACTGAAAGCTATTTTTTTAAATTCAGTTTTACATCTATAAATACATAGTACAAAAATGCAAGTTTACAAGCCATTTTTCCTAATAGAGTTATGCCATTTGAAGTTTTAAGTAGCAACATTTCTCCAACATAAGATACATACATTTAAGAGCAATAATATTAAGTATTTACATATAAAGTTATGAAGTGTTTGAGGATATAAATTAGTAACAACACACAGAGACAAATATACACGTACTGTGAAATAAATAATTCAACAGCTTTACATATGAGGGTACCTATAATATTATACAAACAAAATATACAAGACTGTAGGACTTGATCTTGCAGTTGCTCATATCTGTCACTCGAGCATCTGAGTAATCCCAGTGCAGTAAAAAACCTACTTTATGGAGTTACTCATATGCTGAAAATCAGGTGCACGAAACTACCTCACTGAAACGGCTCCTGACTGAAATGTCTCCTGACTATATCAGGCCCCACAGAAAACTCCATGTGAATTAATGTGTTTAGTGTTATTCTTGTGAGTTAAGATACTGTTGGCATTCAGGGTCTCCTTTCATTTCTGGAGAGCCAGGAATTCTTCTTCCATCTTTTGGGTAGACACACCAGCATCCAGCAGACTCTCCATCCAGTGAAGTTTCACACTAGAATATTATTAGCAAAACAAAACCCACAATAAGGAACTGTGAGCAGAAGATTATCTGTGAAAAACTGCAAGTAGAGGTGTTGGACAGAACTAGGATCAGAAGGTGGGGACCTGTTGTGCACAGACTTGTTTTGAATGTGGTGGTCCCTGCTCTGACAGAGCCTCTGACCGACACAGGGAGCCATGACCCAAGCTCAGCTACCACGACAGCAACTTCAGATTTAAAACAGTTTGCCCACTCCTTGGTAAACAGCAGTATAAAACAGCAATATCTTCCAGCATGAGAAACTGAAGGAAGGCAGAATATACAAGCTGGTAGGGCGAGAGGAATGACTGGATGGTCTGGCTCTTCATGCAAGGAAGCAAATAGGGTGGGTTTTTTCCTGGGGAGGGGGTTAAACAGATTTCTGTTTGTGCCTGATTAGATCCCAAGTCACAACGTTTGTGAGTCACACAGTGGTGCCATGCGCAAAAACAAGGAGTCTCGGTGACACAGATTTATGCAGACCTACTAAATTTGTGTGTATGACCTGTGGTTACAAGGGTGTGGTTTGAGGTTTTGAGCTTTAGTTAGGTATGCAGATTACTCTCAGTGTAACTTGCAATGGCTTTTTTTGAGGCTATAATGGAAATGAGCATATAACATAATCCATAGGCAGCACAAATCAGTATTTTTGCTCTTCTTTCAGAAGGCTAATTTTGCTCCAGAGAGTTTTTTCGCTGCCTGTGTAAGTTTTTCACTGCCTGGGATCTGCGAGCCTCCTTTCTCCATAGTGATTATTATGTATTATATGGGCTTTGCAGGCAGTATGGTGGATAGTATGAATTAATGTCAACTGGGAATACGCTAACAAATCAGGTACATGGAGATTGATTTGGCCTGGGAGCAGACAGGGTTAAAAGATTTTGGAGAAGGCTTTGTGTGCACCTGTTCTGTGAATGGAAAAGACTCCTGCCTCCATTGCTGTCAGCCCACAGCATGCGGCTCACTTTTAAGAGAAGAAGGACAAACCATCTGCTCCCACTACTAAGTATCCCAGTTTTCACAACCTGCTTTTCCAGCAGCTGCAAACTCGTGAGTTTGGGAGCAGAGGGCTATGAAAGGGTTGGCTGTGTCAGGCTAGTCGCAGCACTGCTGTGAGCAGACAGGGGAAAAGGCACGTACCTGTTTGCTGTGGTAAAATCCGTTCTTGCTGCAGTTGGGCAAGTAGAATTTGTAAATCTCCCCTCCGCTTCTCTGCTGCGCCTTTGCCAATTTATACAGGGCTCTGTAGAGCTCCTTCTGACAAGGTCCCTGCAGGAATACCATGCAAAGGTTGTCAATACCAAAATCACAAAGAAACCAGCTAAACAAAAAGTGATCAGTATAAAGGTACCAACAAGCAGAAAATACTTATTAGTTACTGTGCTCGTTTTGGCTGGGATAGAGTTAATTTCCTTCATAGTAGCTAGTATGAGGCTATGCTTTGGATTTGTGCTGAAAACAATTATGCTAATACAGGGATGTTTTCATTAATGCTGAGCAGTGCTTACACAGAGTCAAGGCCTTTTCAGCTTCTCACACCACCCCACCAGCAAGGAGGCTGGGGGTGCACAAGAAGCTGTGAGGGGACGCAGTCGGGACAGCTGACCCCAACTGACCAAAGGGCTATTCCATACCATATGGCGTCATGCTCAGTATATAAAGCTGGGGGAAGAGGAAGGAAGGGGGGGATGTTTGGAGTTATGGCGTTTGTCTTCCCAAGTAACCGTTACGCGTGATGGAGCCCTGCTTTCCTGGAGATGGCTGGACACCTGCCTGCCGATGGGAAGTAGTGAATGAATTCCTTGTTTTGCTTTGCTTGTGTGCATGGCTTTTACTTTACCTATTAAACTGTCTTTATCTCAACCCACGAGTTTTCTCAGTTTTACTCTTCTGATTCTCTCACCCATCACACCAGGGGGGAGTGAGCGAGCAGCTGCGTGGTGCTTAGTTGCTGGCCAGGGTTAAACCACGACAAAACCACAAAGAAACCAGCTAAACAAAAAGTGATCAGTATAAAGCTAACAAAATGCTGAAAATGCTTATTAGTCATAAAATCTGCATCAGGCTGTTTTGCATGTAGTTTTTACTTGTTTCAGTAGGAGCACAGCCAGAAAACTCTGGTGTTGCATTTAGGCCTTTGTTTTTATTCTTTGAGGTATTTTTCTGTCCTCAGAAACATGAGGATTTAAGTCCTTAAATTGCCACACAAGGAAATTTAACCTGTACTAAGTAAACACATTACTGCTCAGAGGGTACAATCTCTCCTATTATGGGGAGGTGCACATTAGGAGGCTGGTATACGTGAGACTAGCCACGTTTTCTGGGTTGCCATGGCCCTGTGCTCTGTTGATGTATGGAGAATAGGTGCAAGACATATATAGACGGTGCAAGAACAAACATCTGAATGTTTGTTATCTTTTGTACAGGACAGAGCTGTCGCCAAAGCAGAATAGAAAGCACGCCTGTGGCTCCGAGACCCAAACCCAAAGCGCCTGGAACTGGGGATGAAGAACTGTTTGCAATATTCACTATTTTGACAATTTGCTCGCTCCCTTTTTCAAAGTCACAATTGCCGCGTATTAATAGTACCTAACGTGTTTAAATGAGTGAAAGGGGGGGAGAAGTGACTGAACAAATATTTTTACATTAGAGCAAAAATAATCATACCCTCTGTTTTTGCAAGACCTCCCCGTGTCAGCCCCTCACACAAGCGGTCCTATTCAAGTCAATGGCTTATCTGTGGCTCGAGGTGAGAAAAGCAGAAGCCTAAAAATAAGAACTGGAGCTAACAGCACTTATGTATAATAGTTCAAACTAAGTCAGCGATTAAGTCCTGTTCTGGATGTGGAATGAGGCTTCCTAGGGTGGGATGGTGGTTAGTAAGTTTTTGCTTTTTTTTTTTTTCATTTTGTCTGTGACCATTATGAAACTGAGCTTCTGTGGTGCCCAGTTCTAATGCAGCTCCGTGCTGCGGGCGTGCTGGCTGCCTAGGACCGGTCTAACTGTGGTTCTCTGGTGCCCTCAAGTGGAGCACAGACCTGCTTGCAAAGACCCCACACCCCCATTACCCGCTCTGATTTTGCGGTGTCGAAGGTAAAAGCTTACTTTAATTGCTGAGCTTTCTGTCTTTTTACATGCATCTACTTAATAGCGTGATCAGAAGTGTGATCAGAAAGAAACACGTTTTGGTTTGCATTGGTGTTTCATCAATAACTGCATGTAAGGACTCCCTTTTATTTCACTGAACATTGAACCAGTGACAAATGCCTTTTATTTTTTAACTAAAACACAAAAGGAGTCCAAGATTTTAATATGGGTTCCTGAAAATTAAGGGCCCATGTTATAATCTGGTAGTAAATGCAGGGAAAGATTTAGCCTCTGCATAGCATCTGCATAGAACATATCTGATGCACACCTGTTTTTATTGCGCCTGCCATTTTGCCTGTTGCTCAAGCATCTGATGAAGGCATTCCAAAAGTCTGTTTGCTAGCTACCCAAAATACCGACATCCCAGCGTTGCTGCTAGAATTTCATGCACATTTTCATTTTGTATTCTAACTCAATAGCATCTACTGAAATGGTCTCTGAAAGGTTTGCAAAGAAAACCCACCTGCTCTTTCCATTTCTTGAATTCAGATATTCTCTTTGCTTTCATGTTTTCATATGCAGTGATGGCATTCCAGGGGATGGATTTGTCCTGGCCTATGGGAAACATCAACTGATAGTTCAGCAGCTGATCCTGTGTCATTTCAGTGCTTTCCAAAGGCATATCCTCAAGTTCAATAGAATCTGGAAAGGAATGATATTAAGGTGAACATCTTCAGTGAATTTTGCATTTATTTCTCCAAGTTAAAAAAGGTAAAGTAAAGAAGAAAAATCAACAACAACAAAAAAATAATATGCAAGACAGATTCATTACAGTAGCTCTTGCAGGAGTAATAAATTACATGTGCAGCACAGAAAATTAAACTTTCGTCATAAATTCATACGAGGACATATCAGCTGTTCTCTAACAAGTTGGTTTTTTATGATCCTTCAAAATCACTCTAATGCTGGAGCCAGTCTGTTAGAAATGAAAAAAACCTTCTTGACCACAGTGGGTTATAGAGACTTTGCTAAATGAGGGAAGACTGGAGTTAAACTTGTAATGAATTTAGATTTTTGTCAGCATGATGTGTTGCAGTTTTTATTCAGGAGAGGAACTGGTCCAGACCTGATCCCATGGCATCCTGTACTTTGTTCCGTGGCTTGCCTCACCTATAAGAAGGGGTTGCAATTTACAGGAGCCAGCAGTAGCTCACGCTGGCCTGCAGTGGATCAAATAGTCAGGGAATGGCAGAAACTGTTTGGATCTGCCTGATCATGGCCTGCATGCCAGTGCCTAACTCAGCATGTGTGAACTCTCCTACTGGAAGCAACAGAAGCTCTTTGCAATTGCAGGGACTTATTATGGGATAAAAGTTTGACATGTGTCTAAATAGCTTGTTGGATCAAGGCTGTAAGCAATCATCCAGTGGGCTAAAAACCACCTGTGTTTCCCTTTGACAATGTTTAAGAAAAAAATGGAGGTGGAAAATTAAGGTGGGAAAAAAAGAAAGAAATAATAAAAACCAGGAAAGAATAAAGTCAAATCAAATACTAGAACTTTTTAACTGCTGGAGGCTTAAACACTCAGTTTAGTCACTTCTCTCCCTTCCCCACCCCCTCAAGTACAAGAGAAACTCCACTTATTGCCACCAATGCCCATAGTTATTTTGAATCGACGATGATTATTTTTGTAATGCTACTGAGTTACCTTAACCACCACTGCATGAACATAGTGGTAATGATGGTGAAAATAATAATAAATTGTAAAATAATGAAGTAACACTGAAGAAGTTCCTGATCATCATATAGCATAAGATGCTATGTTTTTTTGCTCAAAGATAGTTTGGCTAGCACTGCACTACTTCAGATGTGAAATGAAGCCAGGCACAAAGCCTGTTTAGGTCTTTTCATTCTCTACCATGACTTTTGGAGACGGACATAAACAAAGTCTAGAAAACATTTGTCCTACTCTAGTTACTGTTTACTACGAAAGAAAAAGTGTCTATAGCTTCCCGCAAATCTTATTCTGATTACTCTGCATCGTCCCATCACTACGCTTGAGGGTTGTCCTGCTTGCTGCCTGTGGCGTAACAGCCTGCTGCGAGCAGCTCTTGGCTCCGCGCCAGGATGCGTCTCACCTCGCACAGGTCAGAGCACGTTTTCCTGGGAAACGCAGCCCGCCTTCTCTAGCTTCTAAACGCCTGCCTAACTTCCCTCGTTTTCCCCAGCTCCCGACGCCCAGCGCCCGCGGCGCCTCCGCGGCCCCAGGCGCCCCCCGCCTGCCGAGGCCTCCTTCCCTC